TTTTATCACCTTCCTTACATCACCTGCTCCCATCTTTCTATTCTTTCCTTACTTATTTTACTTAGTCTCTTATTTATTATCTTATTTTCATTACTTATCACCCCTCACCTTACATTACTTCTATCCCTATCTAATATCTTCTTTCCATACATTCCTCTTTTACTATTCCTTTCATTACTTCCTCTGTCTTATTCTTCCTCCTCTAGCCCCTATAATTTTTATCAAAATCCCTACTTTATCACCTAATTTATCACCACTTACTTAGTCTTACTTCCTTACCTTATATCACCTTATTATTCCTCACTCCACTACTTGCTTATTTTGCTCTCTTACCCTTTTATTCCTTATTTTATATTTACTTATTTCTCTCTACCTTATTCCACTTAGTCTTCTATTATTCCTTAGTTGTACTTAGTTAGTTTACTCCTTACTTATTCCTTATGCTTATATTCCATATCTTACTTCTCACTTGTTTATTACTTATTATTATATCTCTTACTTATCTTACTCTCTTACCCCATTTATTACTTTTATCTCTCTCCCCTTATTCTTCCTTTTTCACTTCCCTACTATTCCTTATTTTCCCTACTTATCTATTACTTAGCTATAAATTATTCCTTGTGCTACTTCCTTATCTCTTATTGGTTAGTCTGTTGCCTTACCACTTAGTCTGTCTTCAATCATTCCTTACCCTTCTCTATATTACCCCCTACTATTAACTACTTACCTATACCTTAGTTAGTACTTATTATTATATCTATCACTTACCTATATCTTTCTCTTATATTACTACCACTTACTTGTTATTGTGCTAGTCCTGCTTTTCTTAGTTGCCCACTATCTTACTTAATTACTTCCTCATCTCTCTTAGTCTTATTTATTTCCTTACTTGGCCTCCCATTACTAACTTCCATATCACTTCTCTCCTTCAACATCTCCTACCCTTCCATTACTTACTCCCTACCTTATCATATTCTTCCCTCTTACCATATTCCATACACTCTCTTCTTATTATACCCTATCATCCATCTATCAATCTTTCCTCCCTAGCTGCCCTATTACCCATACTCATTCTTCCTCACCTTCCTTTTGTCCTCTTAGTACTTACTCTGCATCTATCTGTATTAACAGTTCTATGGCTAATCATTTAGCTTCTTAGTTACTGGCTTGCCACCTTACTATCACCCATTGTTAGTACTTAGTCTTTCTTGTTAGTACTATCCCTTCCCCAATATCTCCTTGGTGTGCACTGGCCATCTAAATATCTCAAAATATCTCAAAAATTTTAGGGGTCCTGTCGCAGCAAAAACCTCTGATGGGAAGAGGTGCTAACAGAGCAATAATCTTACAATCAACCACAATCGTCATTCTTCGAGAATCCCACCGTGACTAACTCACCCCACTTCCTCCTTACTACGTACAACCTTCCCTGCATCCCCTGTCGTCTTTCTCCATCCTTATCTCAATACACTCTATATCTCATTTCCACTTCAATCCCTTCTTACTAACTAAAAACACTATCTAGCCTTATTCTCTTGGAAACTATACTAACTAGGGTCCACTACTTATCTCAGGTTAGTCTTTAGTTACCCTAACCTACCCACTTCTTAGTCCTGCTCACTTCTTCCCATCTAACTATCCTTCAATTCCCATCTATCCGTAACATGCCTTCATAAACTATTACTCTCTCAACATCTCTCACCCTCTACCTTCTTAGTATCCTTTCTACTTATATCTACTACTTACCTATATCTATATCCTCCTTCTATCTTTGTTTCTATCTCTCTTCCATACTTTCTTATCTTCTCCTGTCCTGCCGGTACTCTCAAGCCACACGTCTCGTTCTGTCCGGTGTCTCCACTCGGGCCACCTCTGTGGAACATTCGCTCCGCTTCTGCGGAAATTTCCACCGGCCGGAAGTCCTGCAACCACTCCTCGCTGCTGCTTTCCCAGCTTTCACCCCTAAAATTTTCTAAATAATTTTTCTATATTTTTATTTTCCCCTGCCAATCTGGCCCTTATCTATATCTTACTTATCCAATCCTCTACTCCTATCCATGTCCATCTTCCATATCTCTCTTATACACTCCCACCTTCCATCCTAGTATCTTTCCTTCACTCATCCAGCTACTAGTACCTATTTATTCCCTTCTTTGTGTATCAAAATATCTCCTTTTCTACCATATCCACCTACACATTCTTCACTTACTCCTCTCCAAAATCTTCACTCATCCCAACAATCATATCTTATGTTGCTACTTACTTCTCCCTGTCTAATCCATCTCTAGCATTGCATATCTGCAATAATGCAATCCACACATACTCCATTAGTCTAACTACTACAATGTAATATTGATCTATCCTCATATCTCTTGTTTGTTTTATGTCCACTACTTTTCTCTTATACCACACTTTATATTCCTGTCTCACACTGTATTGCATACTATAAGCTGAATAGATGCTATCTGGTTTGTGCACAGATCCACTACATTTGACACTCCCTCTCATACCAAAATCAACTGATAAATTAAATCGACCATATTTTTATTAAAATTTTGCATGCACACCCATGCACGGCTTGTCAATCAAAACTGTAAATGATCTGATCAGAGCACTGCCGGTTGAGTTTCTTACCCTATTCTCCACAGATGCCTGCTGCACTGCGGTGGGCACTGAACAAAGGTCTGCACTTGATGATTCTTTAGAACAGCAGTTACAAAGTATCTCCATCTCTAGTGATGAGTCCGGCAACATCCCACCCCACTCAACTCCCAAGCCCAGAGTTTTCAAGGACAAGGATGACAGCCGCTTTACTACTTTCATGAATGATTCCAGAATCTCTGAAATAATCAATGAGTACTTTAAAAGAGTAAATCTTGCCCAACACAATGAGTATCCAAGTATTAAACATGAGATTTATGAAGTAGTGGCAATGACACTGTACTGTATTTATAGTCCAACAGGCAGTGTATTTTTAAGCGAATATGAATTTTAAGCGAATATGAATTTTTAAACGAATATAAACTTTTAAACGAAGACGAATTTTTAAATGAAGATGGTAGCCCCAAAGAGGAAACAATTCAAAAAGCTAAAGCATACTTGTCGAAATCTAAACTCCCAACATTAGAGGTATCAGGTTTCGACTTTGATCATATTCCGATTGAGGCGTGGAAGTTTCTCATTGATCATTGTGGGGTTAAGGAGCTGAGCATATCAAAAACGACTATTGACATTGCTGCACCGAACCATTCAGATCTCTGCAATATAGTAGCGTTATATTTGGTTGATGTTGGATTGACAGAGATGCCATGCTTATCTAACCTCACAAGTCTTGAATGGCTCTGTTTAAAAGATAATCAAATTGGCTATGTCAATCTTCAAAGCTACTTTGATGCTGAGACAGGCAACGGTACTATGCCAAAGTTGAAGTATCTAGACCTGTCTAGAAATCCTGTATCAAAGATTGATGCAAGAATTAAAGAGGTCTTCACAAGTAAACCCCTCATAATACTTTCAGAAGAGGTAATGGTAGATCTAAGCCTTCCGCTTAGCGATGTGAAACATGAATTGAAAGATGCAGACATCGAGCTTGTTGAGCCAGACCTGGTGAGTCAGATGGATTGGATGCCAGTAACTGATTAAATGATCTTTAATGCTAATGTAGTTTATACAGCACTTTAATGCCTCCTCAACCTTTATCCTCTACACAATGTTCTTTGAGACTGCTACTACTGATTTAGTCTGTGGTTCTTGGCATTGGTAAACACGACTTATGTATCCCAGCTGTTGTCTGGAAGAGTCATGCCAGCCACTGCACCCAAGGGCAGCACCATAGTAGTCATTGCCAAACAAGAACTGGTGGAGCTATCACCATGTACTCACTGACCTGTCTCCAGAGGAAGATAACAAGCCTCAAAGCTAGTTTACTCCTGTATTTGAACTGACCACAACCAACTCAGTCCTCCAAAGAATCACCACATCCTACCACTCTGTGCTTTTGCTTGTCTCACGCTTTCCGCCAACTACGGCTCTTATCCTGTATTACAAAATGCTCCTGAGGGCATTTTACGAGCACATAGCCCATCTGAAGAGGAACGGCTTCAGTGCCCAAGAAGGTCCCAGAAGACTAGGATAGAAAGACATGAACAAACTAAAGAATCTTCGAGACATGTTCGAAGACTTACTATGGTAAAGACACACTCCTACATCCAAAGCACGAATTGAAGAGAAAGAACTACATTAAGTTTGTAAATTGATTTATTCAATAATTGCCTCACTATCATCCTTGTGAGATACTCCATCAAACACAACACGATCTTCAAATATCTCGCTCAGTTCTTTCTTGCCCAGAGTCCTTTTTCCATCTCCTTCCTCTAAAATGTTATTGCCTCTTAAGTCCAGAAATTGCAATGAACCGGACAGCTCTCCTATCTCAACTGGCAGTGTCTCAAGTTTGTTATAACAGAGACGCAATGTCTTTAAATTCTTTAGCTCCCCTATCTCAAGTGGTAATGTTTCGAGTTCATTACCATTGAGATCCAATTCCTGTAAATTCTCCAAGCCTTCTATTTCGATGGGCAATAACTTTAGTTTGTTACCATGGAGATACAGGAATTGCAGTTTCTCTAGCTCTACTATCTCAACTGGCAATGTCTCGAGTTTGTTATAACCAAAACGCAATGTCTTTAAATTCTTCAGCTTCCATATTACAGCTGGTAATGTTTCGAGCTCGTTACCATTGAGATCCAATTCCTGTAAATTCTCCAAGCCTTCTATTTCGATGGGCAATAACTTTAGTTTGTTACCATGGAGATACAGGCATTGCAGTTTCTCTAGCTCTACTATCTCAGATGGTAATAATTCAAATTCGTTATTACTAAGACACAGTATTTCTAGATTCTTTAGTTTTTTTATCACAGTTGATAGTATCCCAAGCTTGTTATTACCAAGATTCAGATACCGTAGATTCTTTAGCTCCCCTATCTCAAGTGGTAATGTTTCGAGTTCATTACCATTGAGATCTAAGTACTGCAGATTCTCCAGCTCTCCTATCTCAGCTGGCAGTGTTTCGAGTTTGTTACCATTGAGATCCAATGCCTGCAAATTCTTCAACTCTCCTATTTCGATGGGCAATAACTTTAGTTTGTTATTACGAAGATACAGGCATTGCAATTTTTCTAGTCTTCTTATCTCGGGTGGCAATGTTCCGAGCTCGTTACCATTAAGATATAGCATCTTTAGATCCTTCAGCTCTCCTATCTCAGGTGGTAATGTCTCGAGATTGTTAACACTGAGATCCAGCTTCTCTAGTTTCACTAGTCTCTTAATATCGCTGTCAATAGATGTAATGCCTTGGGAATATATATCTATTTCAGTCGTATCCACAGGATAATTTTCAAAGCTATAGATTCCACCTGGGTTTGCACCATTGTCCGAGCTCTGGAGTGTAGCTCCCATGAGTGCAATTAGACTCCAGATTGCTTTGTATGCCTTTCTCGTTCGTGCAATATTCATTAGGGCATGAGCTAAAAAATTTTTAAATTGATTAAATTGTTTATTTTTGACAGGGAAATTAGGTATAAGCTTAATTAAAAATAACACAGTAATTGCTGTCAGCGTCCAACTGCTACTGGTTGGTAAAGCTTTGAGATTCAATCCTGCCACCCAAAACCCGTTTTGAAAATAGTATATTGACCGATGCCAAGTGTGCCATTCCAGACTGTTTTGTGAATCTGCGAATAGATTAGCATGGTGTAGCCTAGTGCACAGCTCATCACATAATAAAATGATATCTCAAGATTTGTTGTTTCAGAAATTCAAAAACTGTGTACTGTCTGAATCAATTTAATTGTTGGTAGTACTCTATTAGTGATAATGGCCTATCTGCACTCATCCGGGCTCCACGCCATAAGGACATTCCTGCCATCGATCCTATCCCTCACCTTCTGGTATTCCCTACATATATCTAGCTGTCCTCATCTACTCCTCTGGCTGCTCTCATCGGTCCAGAAGGTCACGGCCCCAATAGCACATCGTGGCCCACTCTTTCTAGTGAACACGGGGTAAAAGCTACCTGGCATCTGCATGCTCTGCTTCTCCCAAAGGATTAGGAGATCTCTGGCTTGGAGGCATGAAGGAGAGCAAACAACAGAGGCAATCCATATAAGTACATTGCATAAGGCCATCCAGTCAATACCCAACTATGCAAACCCCAATTGGCTCAGACCATCTGTTCATACTCTCTGTCTACAAAAATATCATTTATTTGTACACTCTATCCCTTGCTTCGACAAATCGGCAAGTCTTGATCCTACCGTAGGCCGGCTCGACACCACCACAATGGCTCTCTCTGTCTCGGATTGCAATGCATCCCTGAGCTTCAAATACAGGACGGTCTTGTACCGACACTCGTTAATGCCCGGGGGCTCCTCGCCCGCTGATATCTTCACAATACACTCATGTCCCGTGCCCCCATCCGAGAACACCAGAACCAACTGGCTGTGTGACGTGCTCATCCTCTCAAATCTGCCGAGAATCTTGCTCGTGCCCGTCCTTCCATTCACCTTGACACACTCCAGCGGCCGGAGCGCAAACTCTCTTCGACCGACTGTAAACACAAGCTCATCCCTCTCAAGCACATGCTGAACAAGATCTGTGAGTACAGGAACTGTGTCTACTCTTCTACTGCTAACCTCATAAAACTGAGAGTGCATGGTAGTGTGGAGTGGCCTGTGTGCACCAATCTCAGAGTGTGTCAGAACCAGCCTGCCCAGTGCAGTTGTGAAAAGAGTCGCAATCAAACCTAGCTTCATCTATGGGTGTGAGAAACAAACAATAAATACACCCTCCATAAGCAATCGGATCCACAGCCTGCCCAAGCAAATGTTTGTTCCAATAAATGCATGCACCAGAAGATGGCCACTCCTCAATCGAACTTGCAGTGAAAAGCCTACAGTATGGCAAGCGCAAAAACTTTATAGTCCTGTTCTGGCCAATAGCCATGTGTGCCCCTTATCAATCATTCTCCGTTGGGATCAGCCATAGTTACTGATGATCAGCAAAAGCATAAGAAAGTATTTGGGTCTACTAGTGCTTATTCTGTCAGTGCCGTGTGTCTATCTCTTCGTGCAGCACCAGCAGACACTTGCGTCTCAGCAGAAAACATTCAGCTTCATAGAAAACATCCACAGCATACCGATACTTTCTGGAGATGAGCCGTTGATGCACTATGCAGGCCCTGACGCTGAGCCGCAGCCCATTCTTCAGAGCTCCAGACCTAGCGAATACTATGAAACAAGCAAGGATACAGTTGAGACTCTCCACTCTGTTTCCGACAGAAACAAGGATGTTCTGCAGCAGATCACATTCATACTGGATGTTCTGAACATTGGCAGCAACGATCTGGCAGGGCTGATCTTAGATTCGATAAACAGAAATGCCGGCTGCCGCTTCCATATTGAAAATCTCAAGGGATTCTTTGTGTTCAAGATCAAGATCGACACTAAGTTCTACATCTTGAAGCAGCTGGCTGGCAGCAGAGACTACAACATCAACGACCTGCTGATAACCAACTTTGATTCCCCATACATAGCCAACATAATCAGTGCATTCCGCAGAGACTCATACAGCGGTGAATCAGTTGGAAACACCTGGTATGTCTCGGAGTACCTGGATGTGCCAATATTTGGCGACTGTGTCATGAACGGCGGCATCGCTGTGCTCAGAACGATAGCCCATGACATGCTTGAGGCCCTAGAGTGTGTCCACAGTAAGAGATACGTGCACCAGGACCTCTTTGCACGAAATGTGGCGGGAAAGACGGAGCCAAACAAT